CCATGATATCCTCAGCATCCTTCTGTAGAAATTTCAACTCTCTCTTCCTGATGTTAAGTATAAGTTTCCTTTTTTTGTTTCCATTTTCTCTAAACCATCGTCGTTGCTCACATGTTCGGTCCATGGTATCCTCAGCATCCTTCTGTAGAAATTTCAACTGTCTCTTCCTGATGTTAAGTATAAGTTTCCTTTTTGTTTCCATTTTCTCTAAACCCTCGTCTTTGCTCCCATGTTCGGTCCATGGTATTCTCAGCATCCTTCTGTAGAAATTTCAACTGTCTCTTCCTGATGTTAAGTATAAGTTTCCTTTTTGTTTCCATTTTCTCTAAAACCATCGTCGTTGCTCACATGTTCGGTCCATGGTATCCTCAGCATCCTTCTGTAGAAATTTCAACTGTCTCTTCCTGATGTTAAGTATAAGTTTCCTTTTTTGTTTCCATTTTCTCTAAAACATCGTCGTTGCTCACATGTTCGGTCCATGATATCCTCAGCATCCTTCTGTAGAAATTTCAACTGTCTCTTCCTGATGTTAAGTATAAGTTTTTCCTTTTGTTTCCATTTTCTCTAAACCATCGTCGTTGCTCACATGTTCGGTCCATGGTATCCTCAGCATCCTTCTGTAAAATTTCAACTGTCTCTTCCTGATGTTAAGTATAAGTTTCCTTTTTGTTTCCACTTTCTCTAAAAACCTCGTCGTTGCTCACATGTTCGGTCCATGGTATCCTCAGCATCCTTCTGTAGAAATTTCAACTGTCTCTTCCCTGATGTTAAGTATAAGTTTCCTTTTGTTTCCATTTTCTCTAAACCATCGTCGTTGCTCACATGTTCGGTCCATGGTATCCTCAGCATCCTTCTGTAGAAATTTCAACTGTTTCTTCCTGATGTTAAGTATAAGTTTCCTTTTTTGTTTCCACTTTCTCTAAAACCTCGTCGTTGCTCACATGTTCGGTCCATGGTATCCTCAGCATCCTTCTGTAGAAATTTCAACTGTCTCTTCCTGATGTTAAGTATAAGTTTCCTTTTTGTTTCCATTTTCTCTAAAACCATCGTCGTTGCTCACATGTCCGGTCCATGGTATCCTCAGCATCCTTCTGTAGAAATTTCAACTGTCTCTTCCTGATGTTAAGTATAAGTTTCCTTTTGTTTCCATTTTCTCTAAACCATCGTCGTTGCTCACATGTTCGGTCCATGGTATCCTCAGCATCCTTCTGTAGAAATTTCAACTGTCTCTTCCTGATGTTAAGTATAAGTTTCCTTTTTGTTTCCATTTTCTCTAAACCATCGTCGTTGCTCACATGTTCGGTCCATGGTATCCTCAGCATCCTTCTGTAGAAATTTCAACTGTCTCTTCCTGATGTTAAGTATAAGTTTCCTTTTTGGTTACATTTTCTCCAAAAACCTCGTCGTTGCTCACATGTTCGGTCCATGGTATCCTCAGCATCCTTCTGTAGAAATTTCAACTGTCTCTTCCTGATGTTAAGTATAAGTTTCCTTTTTGTTTCCATTTTCTCTAAAACCTCGTCGTTGCTCACATGTTCGGTCCATGGTATCCTCAGCATCCTTCTGTAGTAATTTCAACTGTCTCTTCCTGATGTTAAGTATAAGTTTCCTTTTTGTTTCCACTTTCTCTAAAACCTCGTCGTTGCTCACATGTTCGGTCCATGGTATCCTCAGCATCCTTCTGTAGAAATTTCAACTGTCTCTTCCTGATGTTAAGTATAAGTTTCCTTTTTGTTTCCATTTTCTAAAACCTCGTCGCTGCTCACATGTTCGGTCCATGGTATCCTCAGCATCCTTCTGTAGAAATTTCAACTGTCTCTTCCTGATGTTAAGTATAAGTTTCCTTTTTGTTTCCATTTTCTCTAAACCATCGTCGTTGCTCACATGTTCGGTCCATGGTATCCTCAGCATCCTTCTGTAGAAATTTCTACTCACTCTTCCTGATGTTAAGTATAAGTTTCCTTTTTTTGTTTCCATTTTCTCTAATACCTCGTCGTTGCTCACATGTTCGGTGCATGGTATCCTCAGCATCCTTCTGTAGAAATTTCAACTGTCTCTTCCTGACGTTAAGTATAAGTTTCCTTTTTGTTTCCATTTTCTCTAAAACCACGTCTTTGCTCACATGTTCTGTCCATGGTATCCTCAGCATCCTTCTGTAGAAATTTCAACTGTCTCTTCCTGATGTTAAGTATAAGTTTCCTTTTTGTTTTCATTTTCTCTAAAACCTCGTCGTTGCTCACATGTTCGGTCCATGGTATCCTCAGCATCCTTCTGTAGAAATTTCAACTGTCTCTTCCTGATGTTAAGTATAAGTTTCCTTTTTGTTTCCATTTTCTCTAAAACCTCGTCGTTGCTCACATGTTCGGTCCATGGTATCCTCAGCATCCTTCTGTAGAAATTTCAACTGTCTCTTCCTGATGTTAAGTATAAGTTTCCATTTTGTTTCCATTTTCTCTAAAACCTCGTCGTTGCTCATATGTTCGGTCCATGGTATCCTCAGCATCCTTCTGTAGAAATTTCAACTGTCTCTTCCTGATGTTAAGTATAAGTTTCCTTTTTGTTTCCATTTTCTCTAAAACCTCGTCGTTGCTCACATGTTCGGTCCATGGTATCCTCAGCATCCTTCTGTAGAAATTTCAACTGTCTCTTCCTGATGTTAAGTATAAGTTTCCTTTTTGTTTCCATTTTCTCTAAACCATCGTCGTTGCTCACATGTTCGGTCCATGGTATCCTCAGCATCCTTCTGTAGAAATTTCAACTGTCTCTTCCTGATGTTAAGTATAAGTTTCCTTTTTGTTTCCACTTTCTCTAAAACCTCGTCGTTGCTCACATGTTCGGTCCATGGTATCCTCAGCATCCTTCTGTAGAAATTTCAACTGTCTCTTCCTGATGTTAAGTATAAGTTTCCTTTTGTTTCCATTTTCTCTAAAACCTCGTCGTTGCTCACATGTTCGGTCCATGGTATCCTCAGCATCCTTCTGTAGAAATTTCAACTGTCTTTCCTGATGTTAAGTATAAGTTTCCTTTTGTTTCCATTTTCTCTAAACCATCGTCGTTGCTCACATGTTCGGTCCATGGTATCCTCAGCATCCTTCTGTAGAAATTTCAACTGTCTCTTCCTGATGTTAAGTATAAGTTTCCTTTTGTTTCCAACTAAAACCTTATGTCTGTTGCTCACATGTTCGGTCCATGGTATCCTCAGCATCCTTCTGCAGAAATTTCAACTGACCCTCCCTGATGTTAAGATAAGTTTTCTTTTGTTTTCCATTTTCTCTAAAACCTCGTCGTTGCTCAAATGTTCAGTCCATGGTATCCTCAGCATCCTTCTGTAGAAATTTCAACTGTCTCTTCCTGATGTTAAGTATAAGTTTTTTTTTGTTTCCATTTTCTCTTCCCATCGTCGTTGCT